AACTAACTTACTTAACGTTAATACTACTACTTACTTAACTTTAAACTTAAACCTAAACTAACCTAACTAACTAAACGTAAAACGAAACGAAACTAAACTAACTACTCTCTCTCTCTCTCTCTCTCTCTCTCTCTCTCTCTCTCTAACATCCCCAAACTGTCTTTCTCTTTCTATCCCTTCCTCCACGTGCTCTCTCTTACTCATTGAACATTGACCCTTTTGTAGAGAAAGAGAGAGCGCGTTGAGCAGGGGATAGAGACAAAAACAATTTGGGGAGGTTAGAGAGAGAGAGATTCATGGGAAGGGTATAGAGAGAGAGATGGGGGAAGGACAAAGAGTGTTAGAGAGAGCTATGGGAAGGGCTGAGAGCCGGGTGGGGGGTGGGGGGGCGAGAGAGAGAAATTGGGTCTTTCTCTTATTGAATTTGGACTTTGTATTTTTTTTAAAACAAAATAGATATTTAGGGGATGATGCCAAGGCCTTGGGTTCCATTCCTACAAACTATACAACTGCCAACGTGAAAATAAAAAAGGGGTAGGATATTTTGGTAAATAGGTTATGGGGTCGTCCCCACACCTAGTCACCATGTTGTGTTTTCCATTCCCTAACACGACCCCACTCTATTACTTGGTCGAATCAAATTTCAAGTCCCACTATAATCAAACTTGCCAGATGCCTTCCTGGAGCCCATTTCAGAATATTACTGCAGTCCACTTCAGACCATACACCTAGTATGCTGGATACAGGGTTTATCCAAGAGAGGAAGAGGGAGCTATAGGCCAATGCGAACCTCAGTATGATCCTTATGCAAGAAGAATTCTAATGGTTTCAGAGATCCAGGGTCAAGTGGTTGAAAGGAGACAGGAACAAGGTGTTTTTTACAAGATAACAAATTGTTCTAGGGGATCTAATTCCATCCTACAACTTGTCAATGAGGCTCGCACCATCAAAAAAAGGTCCTTCCAGCACCTAGGAGGCCGCCTAGGCACCCAAGAAGCCATAGGCTGCCTCACCTAGGCCTGGGTAGGCTAGGTGGATGCCCAGGAACTTACATAAAAATGATGAATATTTTTTATTTTATTTTTTGGGTGGGGCCATTTTGGATCAATTTGACCCATAAAGAGGAGTATTCTAGCCCCTTAAAAGTAAAAAAAAGAAAAAAAAGAAGAAAAAAAAAATCTTCCTTTGCCCTAGAAATACCTGAAATTGATCAATTCTGCGATTTTTTTAGAAACAAGAAAATTTTGAGAAGTTCTTAGTATTGCATCAATTTTAGGGTCTGAAGGAGGTTCTTA